TCTATCTATCTATCTATCTATCTATCTATCTACCTACCTACCTACCTACCTACCTACCTACCTACCTACCTACCTACCTACACATACGCGCATGCACACACACACACATTTGTGGATATTTTTTTTGCATAATCAATATTATTATCAAACAAATGTGATATTATAAAAATCACAGGACTCCCAACTGAGAAAATCCTTTTTAACTCGTCAGTGTAAAAAGATTTAATAGATTGTACTACCATTGCTTAATGAAAATTAGGCCATGGCTTCAATAGGTTATTGACAACCTGGTCATTGCATATGGATAAAATACTGTGAAAAGCAATTTGGTATGATCTTACACATCTTTTCATCACAATTCTTTTTGTTCACATGCACACAGTCAAAGTACATCACAAAGAATCATGATCTACATGGTTCTTAAAAATGAAATTATTCAGTATATCAGATTCTTCATCTTCATATATTAACTACTGAACTGTAAAATTAAAATATTGGCCACTTACACTGCAGATCAAAATTTTCAAAGTTTAGGATTACAACATCCTGGGATTCTGCCTCTATAAAATAATTGCAGTTCAAGTTGTTGTCATACTGGCCAGGGAAATTAGGAGAAACAATGCGACCAGATGATGCCGTCAGATTTGCCCCACAACCTGCAAGTAAGTAGGATCCAAGAAATACAATTAATTCTACAGAAAAATAATTCAAAAGAAGAAAACCAATAATCTATACAAGGCCAAAATTTCTGCTTATAATGGTGCAATTTCAAAGGCATATAAAAAGACTTTTCTATTTTTCAAATTAGTAAGTGCAAGGATGTGCAAAAGATTGCATGCACTGAACATTTTCAGATGGTTAAGTTGGAACCAAAACATACATGTTTCCTACATTTGGTTGGTGCACAAAATAAGGCTGCTTTGGTCTGTGTACAGAATACACTGGGGCTGTTCCAGACAGAAAGGCTTTAGCAGGTGGAGTGGGGAAAATGATAAAAGAGGGATAAAAGAGGGAGGAAAGGGTAAAACAGTGTGTTTCATCCCCCTCTTCTGCTCAATAGCTTACAGCATCCTCTCTGACCCCGATCTTCCTAGTCCCTAGGAAGGTAGCAGGTAGACAAGCCAGTAGGATATATCACATTGGGAGATGCTGAGGGAAGAGAAGGATGAAATATACCAGCTTTGCCTGCTTTCCCCATCCAGCTTTGTTTCAGCTGAAATCTTGGACCATTAAAGCAATGTGGGTTTGGATTCTACCAAACCATGGCTGATCCAAAATGGTTCCACCAAACCTCTGGAATGTGATGGATTGTTCCAAGTTTGATAGTTTATTATTTTTACAAATGTTGCCCAGTAAAACAATGCTTAAGTTTGCTTAGCATTAATTAACACTGCCAGGAATTATAGCATTATAGTAATTAAGTCTTAAGAGCTAAAGAGAGCCAGTTTGATGTAGTGGTTATAAGGCAGCAGGCTAGAAACTGTGAGTTCTAGTCCCACCTTAGGCACAAAGCCAGCCGAGTGCCCTTGGGCTAGTCACTCTCCTGCAGTCCTAAGAAGGGGGCAATGACAAACCACTTCTGAAATCTTGCCAAGAAAACTGCAAGGACCTGTCCAGGCAGTTGCCAGGAGTCAATACTGACTTGAAGGCACACACACCCACCCACACACACAAAGGAGCTAAAGGCTACTTCTTACTGTGATGTCTGGATTAGACAGTTCAGATTAAAGATGAGTCTCACATGAATCTATATCAGCAATGCCAGCTCTTGTCATGAGGCAACAGGAGTCATTTGACCCAAGAGCAGATGACTGGTGTGGTTCCTACACTGAGGTCTCCTTATTCACCCAATCTGTTGAAGTAGAAAGCTGGAGCTTGCTGGCATGCTGGCTGGAGAATTCTGGAAGTTGGAGCCCATACAGCTTAAAGTTGCCAAGGTTAAGAAACACTGTCCTAGCCTATAACTCGTTTTTATAAGATGCTGAAGGAAGTTGAGATTGGCATCAGTTATTTATGTCACTTTTGAAACAACAAGTTTGAATACCCTGTCTTAGTAAGTCAGTTGGGGCTGCTTTAAATATGAAATTAGTTTCTGAGGATCTTAAAATGAGGCTAACAAAAAAAGTTGCTTCTTGTGCATTGGATGCTTCAGAATGTTTGATAAAGGTTGCTTTCAGTTGTGTTACTGTTGGAGATGCAACTGAGAACATTATAAGACTGAATCATGACTCATTATTGTCACATTCTGGCCTGATAGCACAGTACAGTATAGTATGGCTATGATGACTTTGGTAATTTGCTGTGTGATGAAGAAGTAAATGTTCTTCTTAGCTATACTGAAGCTGTTCTGGCGTTCTCAGGTTGTCCACTCCTGGAATAGAGGATGACAGGCACATTCAGTTATGGGATGCTTTAAATGGGTGATTTGCTTTGAAGAAGCCACAAGAAAACCACTCTTTTAAAGCTACTTCATAAAGTAATTTGCCTCACCATGTTTAAAGAGCAAAGCAAAATTGCTTTATTGCTGCCTGCAATATTAATTGCCTTGCCTTTGAAAACAGTGTCGCCTCCATGTCTCAGGAAGGAAAATAGCAGTGTTTATGAAGCATGAAGCATTGCAGCAGCCTTGCACAGGACAAATTAGTGTTATGGTGGAATCTAGGCAGATTTTATATATTGGGTCCTATAGAAATCTGTAGCAGATTCTTTGTACATAACTACCAATACACCCTAGGATCTTGCATCATGTTTCAGCCAGCTTTACTTTAGGAAGAGACATTTAAGCCAGCTTTTATCATGTCTTGCTGCTGGGTTTAACGAGTAGCCAAATTCATGTATTGCTGACAGTATCAGATTGAATGCAAATAATTATGCATTAGTGAAACACAGACAACCTTGGTTCCAGACCACAGAACCTGCTTCTTTATGACATTATTATTATCAGGAACTCCCTGGACATCCAAACACTTCTGTACTAGATTTCTTATGATACAATTTGACCAAGAATTATCACAACAACATGGATCAATTATGCCATAAATCTGCATCTGTACATCTGGTCAGTCCCTCAGTTCATAGCTATATATGATGATCCTATGAGAAAAATAAGTGGAAAGGCCCTAACACGTGTATCCCATTCGCACCAGTGTTACACAGTGGAGCGACTCAGCAGCCACCAGCGAAAATAACAATATCTTAACATAGTTTTGTTTCTGATTTAACCATATCAGCATTCTAGAACATTTAAATAATATTTATTTGAACAATCTTCAGACATTCCTGGACTCATGGATGTCTGGTGGGAGGGGGAATAAGAAAGCAAACGATGATGTGCATTATGATGAAATCATGCAAATGTTATGTCTTATCTACTTTGGCCAGATAACCTGATATATGGTTGTAATAGAGGGGTTTAGAAAATATCACTGCACAGATTACTTACTGCTTATAAACGATACAGAAAAGCCACGTCCGGAAATGCCTTGTGACTGAAACACTATGGTCATCACATTTCCTGGAGCAACTATAGGCCCTGGAGCTGAGTTTCCACACCCAACAGCTAATATGGCGTCTTCCTGTTCTTTATCCCTTCCTCTTAATACCTGGAGGGCAAAGTTTTAATATCAATATAAGGCAGTAGGCTGATTTTCATTTACATTGATCCCCAGATGTCAGTGAGATTATGATAGAGGCTTTACCAACCCACCCAAGACCAAAACATCAGTCAACAGAATGATACTGAATATATGAAAACATTCACAGATTACTCAGTTGTCACAAAATCTTAATCTTATCCACAGCTGTGGTTCAAAATGCACACAGTAGGCAAAATCTTACCCCTGGTGCCTTTAGGGTTATGTGGCACATTTGCATATCAGAGCATATACATCTTGAACTATTTGCCAGTTCAAAATCTCAATATTTTCTATTTATTTGTAGAAGTATTTAGGAAGCATATATATGTTGGAACCTTCCAACTGTTCCTTTATCCATCCATGTATCACCTGTTTCTCGAAACAGCAAGTTGACAACTTAATAATGGATTTAAAAATACTAATTATATATGTTGTTTATTTGTTAGAGTTATATCCTGCCTTTCTTCCAGGAGCTCAAGGCTAGATACGTATTATTCCCTCCTCCAATTTTTCTCCAATATTTCTCAATATTCCTCTCAACAACCCTATGAGGTAAATTAGATGTCTGAGGATGGACTTGAACATGGGTCTCTCTGTTTCTAGTCCAACACCTTAACCATTATATCACGACCAAATATAAAACCAGAAAAAAACTACCCAATTTTGATTTCCTGATTTTTTACTTTGTTTGGTTTATAATAGTATTATATTTCAGCACCAGTAATCAACTACATTATCTGGGGTAATTGATTGGCAATGGGGAGTAAATAATTTTTTGCTTGAAGGCTCACTTCCTAATACTGTAGCAGCCTCTCCAGAAGACAAATTATGTATGTGAGAGGGGGAGAAATGAGAGGCTGCTCCCTACTTCTACAAGGCATCATTACCTTCCCAAATATCAGTAAATATTATGATCTACATGCACCTTGCAAAGTTATGTTCTTCAGTTATTTATTAAAAGATATACTTATGAATTATTTGGTTTATTCTGTTTAGCCTTATTATTGTAAACCACCCACTGTCTTGGGAGCTAAACATGCATCAACACATAATTAAATAATATTTTAAAATTCAGATAGAACCTTAAGTTCAGATATAATCTTGTGGAACAGGAGAAATCCCTCACAAACTTTTTATGTTAAAAATAGAATTTAAATTAAAATCTTCACCTCTACTTAAAGAGGCAAAATTTAAACACTAAAATGACCTGGCCATGTGGGCATAGTTTCAAAGAATGAAATGACAAATTCCATTTCAGCCCTTTCATTTTCTGAGCAAAGCACAGCCACTCAGTTCCTTATGACTTCCTACATTTTGATAAATTATGCTTGCCCTTTAGCAACAAGTGGGGACTGTGTAGTTTTGTACAGTCTGAGGACAATCACGACCAATGTTGGGCAAATTCTTTAGAAAACTAACAGCTGTTAGGAATGGCGAACATCCCCCACCCTTTAGATGAAATGCCTTGCATACAAATATTTATGTAATAGTCAATAAAATAAATATTATTTTTATTTCAGACATTTTCAGCTATTGAATTAAAGAAACAACAAAAAACAGGTGTTCAGATGGTGATATAGATGGATGGATGGATGGATGGATGGATGGATAGATAGATAGATAGATAGATAGATAGATAGATAGATAGATAGAAGCAAATTTGGGGTTCTTTCAATATTTGCCATATGAAATTTCCTACATGAATTTTCTTTAGGACTATCTCAACACAGAATCTGATGTGAAATCTTTGTTCTCAAATGAAATTATGTTAGGGGTGATAGTGATTACGCAATTGCAAGAGAAAGAAAAGTCAAGATGCTTAAAAAGAACACAGTTTACTGTTGCTCCAGATATTCCAGGATTAAATTTGGCACTGAAATTCAGGATCCAGGGCAAAAGGTCCAAGACAGAAAGTACAATCCCAGCTGCGACTGGGAGAGAGAAGTGCAAAATGGCAGATTCTCCACCTTATTCTAAATTTACAGGATTGTACCAAGCAGATTGAGAGACGAAGGAGACAGAATTACTTTCCTTCATCCTGCACAGATCTTTGGGGAACTGGGGATATGTAGAACGGCTGATCTTGGGACCTCTCCAAGAGACCAAGGAACTTTGGATGCTGCGGAACTGAAACTGCTCCATTCTGTTCATTTCTTCTCAGAGAGTTCCACATTTGGGGGACTACCGCTGGGGGAAACACAACCAGCAGTACGCTTACGCCTGCTGAACTTTGGGTAAGCACATGAGCTACACTGACTGCAAATTTTAAGAACTGTAATCTCAATACATTTGAAATCAAAGAGCAAACTAAATAGTGGTAGACTAAGGAAATATCCATACCTTCACATAACTGTCCTGGCAATGTCCATTATTATCTGGAATCTGGAAATTCTGATCAAAGGTTATCTCAAAGTGTTTGCTGTCATGGGTAATTATTGTCCATAAGCACCTAATATTATTGGGGAAGTTTTGTGGCCAATGTGGAGAATTTATAGTACCATTTTCTATATGAAGTATGCCACCACATCCTGCAAGAATAAAGAATGATAAAATCACTGAGCAGTTTTTAGTTATGCAGGCAAATAAAAGACTATAACACATAAGTAACTCTTTATAAACTCTATGTAATATTAACCGCAAAATCACACTGTTTTCAACTCCATTCAGTAATTATTGATCATGTATAATTTTTCTTGAAAATAGTAAGAATGATTGATTTTTCAATTTAATTAGTATTCAAAGGGGTTTTGTAGATTGTGTGGATGTTACAAGAATCCATAAAACAAGGAGGCATACAAGGGAAGAAACAAAATGCCTATCATAAACCATGGGGTGCTACCATTTCATCTTTGGGTTTCTGGAAAAAAAAGCTTCTGCTGGCTATTTCTACTTTTCAGTAAATGCTTTTGACAATATTATCACCATCATTATTCCAACACACTAAAGCATCCCTGGTAGCAGCACAATTTTAAAATAACACTAATTGCCTGTAAAGAAAAGTACAATTAAACTGTAAAAGAATAAGATAGTTGGATTTAATATGCAGGATGAGTTTACAGTAAGGAAGACTTGTATAAAGGAATTCTTGATACTTTTGTTAAATTTGAAAATGTTCCTTAACTTAGGCATGAAGAAATATGGTTCTCATCTCCCATTTACTGAGGTCTACAAAGATGGAGAAGATTCCACCCCACATATAAGAAGGAAAGAAGTGATCATGGGTTTCTACTTACCTAAAGAATCTGCAGTCCATGTGGCATTGAAACCATCTCCTTGCCTAGAGCGGCTAGAATGGAAATGTATTAACATCTTATTTGAACCAGACTGAATGGTGCCTGGGGATTTAGTTCCACAATATTGTCCTATGACAGGGGAAGTAGGAGATCCACCATTCAGGATGGTGACTGAGGTCCTCATGCAATTTCTTTGTGCTTCCATCTTGAAGGCAACAAAAGTAAGCTATGGACACATAATAATAAGAGAAGACTGAAGAAGCAGTTGTAGCTGCAAAAAATATAACCAAACAAACTAGTATTACTGTATTTAGACCTGCTGTAAACAGGCACATCTGTTTATAGAAGGTGGGGCAATCTGGATACTTTAAAGTCTTGCTTTTTAATCAAAGATTCAAAACAAAAGAGCATGCTATATCTACAATGGTTTTAATTTTGGATCAAAAGGCCAAATGGTTGACCACCACTTTATTTTATTTTATATATTGTTACAGCTGTCTGCCAAGGATTTTTATTTGCAAACATTTAATTTAAACAAGGAGACCATATAATATGCTCAGCACACTTAATTCAATTCAATTCAATTCAATCCAATTCCATTTCTTTTCCATTTGGCAAAGACATTAAATAAAATCAGCATTAGCCACATTACCTACAGTACAATGTATAAATTCTATCGTAGTAATACTTGTATGCTGTTAAACTTGCTGCATGAGAAATGCCGGGCTGGAAGAATCACAAGCTGGAATTAAGACTGCAGGGAGAAATATCAACAACCTCAGATATGCGGATGATACCACCCTAATGGCAGAAAGTAAAAAAGAACTAAAGAGCCTCGTGATGAGGGTGAAAGAGGAGAGTGCAAAAGCTGGCTTGAAACT